AAGGAAGGAAGGAAGGAAGGAAGGAAGGAAGGAAGGAAGGAAGGAAGGAGAGAAAACCTGGGCTGAGAAAGAAAGCTAAGTAACATTAGTAAGAGGTATTTTCATACTCTTAATAGTCCCTTTTAAATGGATTAAAGTTTCTGACCTTCTTATTTTTGAAATTATATCTTACAACCCAGAAATACATTGCCAGCCTCAATATTAAAAGGCCCATAAATTTGCACAATTTCTATGCTTTTATATATGTTAGAAAATAAATTTAAATTTTAAAAGAGGCACGGTCTGTAAATATTGTTTGTGGTTCTGAGAATAAAGCAGAGCAAGGCTCATCTATTAGAAACAGGTGATATAGTACCCCCCCACACACACACACACAAAAACCCCAGTTTAAATAACTTAATCTTGAATGTCTACTGTGAGATTCTTTTTTTTTGGTGATTTCCAGTTTTCATCTGTACTTAAATAAAAATACCCATTAGTGTTATAAAAGCATGCTACCAGCAGCTGCTTCTCTTCATGTGTTTTATTTAGACTTATGCTCCCCACACAGCCCCTTTGTGAACCAAGAGGAGGTGGTCACTTGGCCTACACATTTCAGAATTCTATTCCACCACTATACTTGAACCTGAATGCAATATGCTTCCATAAGTACTTTCTAAGACGACCCTCCCTTGGTTTGTCTGTCTGGAGCTCTGCATTTTTTAGCTCTGGCCATGTGGTCAGTTCAGTTTAGAACTTCAAAATGGTACATGTATGGTACTTGTATCAAAATTGTTTTCACGAGTTGTTGCAAAAATATAAATGTGACGATATCTGACCAAAATCTTTACTCAGAGGTATTTTGGAATTAATTACTTATTCCACTTTCAGACCTGCTACCATGGTTCGATTTTTGAGGATAATTGGGCAGTGTAGCTCTATAAAATATTTTAAATGTTTTAAAATATTTTCTCCCTTTTGTGCTCACCATTTCTGCTACACAAAAGTGTCAGAGAGATGATGGGATAAAGCGCTTCCATAGTAATTATCTATCATAGGAGAAACAATAAAACTTTCTATTAGCTTTCCTTTCTACCTTCTAACTACTCACTCATAATTATTTTGTAACTTTGTTCTGTGTATTAGGTACTATTTTAAGAACTGAAGGTAAAGTTTTGAGCTAAGTAAGCATGGGTGGTACTCTTCTAGAATTTATAATTAATTTAGATTGATTCTGCAGAGAAAAAGTTTGACTACTGTGTATCTAGTGTTGTCCTTTAATGTTTTTAAGGGGAAAAGCCAGCATATATTTATAACAGCCCCTAACCTAGGAAAGAGGAGTTGGAACAAGCCAGGGTGAGCAACATCACTTCAATGCAATGTCTAGGAATTACAATATAATAGCTTGGGATTCTGCTACATTCCTTACACAGCCTTTTATCTTCATGTCATCTGAAATGAAATCATGAAGGATGTTTCAGTGGAGAGGGTAGGTACAACTCTGAAATGTTCCTTGTTTCTCTTCTAACAGAAACACAAATGCCCTGTATGTTACTGGGAATTTTTTTCCTGCTCTCTGTTCTCTAGTGTCGAGTATTCTCAGTTCTGGTTTCAAGAGGAACAGCGACCTTGTAGGTCGTTAGTATTTTATTGTGGATTAGTTTTATAAACTATTTCTCCTAGGAGTACTTTTTTAACAAGGGCTGAAGGAAAAAAATTAGTCACACACCAGAATATCTAAATGGAAACAATTTTGGGAACTTTGCCAGTGCTGTCCAAATCTGTCCATTTCCACGTCTCAACTTATTACATGATTAATTTTCATTGTTAATGGAAATAATTCTTTTAAATATATGTGAGATAAGATGCCACTTTTTCACTTAAAATGAAAACTCCCATATTGCTATACATCATAATGGCAGCAATTATTCAAAGTAATATTTTTTGTCGTCCTGACTTAACCAGAAAGATTAAATAAAACATAAGACAAAATTTTAAACAAACATTCCTGTGTCTTTCATAATTTTATTCATTTTCTAAATAAGTACTGATTATTTCATGTCAGCATTATTTAAATTCACAGGTGATTCCCCTCTGCATTGACAATATGTTACTCATCGTGAAAGTTAGCAAGTAAGTTCATCTTTTATGCGTGTCCAGCTGATGTTATTAAAAATGTAACTTTTGCATTTTTTTTAGGAGCTGGAGTCCTTGAACTGATTTTATATTTTTAAGAGTCATAAATTCATGCCTGAAGTTTTGCTTGTTTGTGTGACTGCCTGACAGAAAAGATGGATTCAATATCTGTGTCTGCATTGCTTTCTGCAAGTAATATGCTGGGACAGTTGAAGAGTTACAAAATATGGAGTCACTGGCAACCATAAAAGATTATATCCTTAGATTGTCTGTAACTAAAGGCCATGCAGTTACATTCCTAGATTCTTTCAGTCCTTTTAAAAACTGGCATTCTTGACCTCTTAAAGTGACTTTTACTGGGAAAAGAAGTGAGAAAATGCTATCTTTCTCATGACAATATAATTCAAAAAGGAGAAAGAAGCATTTACTGAAGGCCTGATGTAAGCCAGTCCCTATTTGTAGTGGAGAAAATGAAAAAAATGAATGAATATATCAGCGTCTTGGCCTCTATGAGCTCTCTGGATCCTGGAAATAGAGAAGTAAGCAATCACGATAACCCTAATATTTGTTAAAATATAGGTATCCATAATAAAATGCATGGAGGGATTTGAGAAAAGCTCTGCAGAAGGGTGAGCATTTCAGATGGACTCAAATCCTGAGTTTGTCCAGTAGAGAAGGGGAGGTAAGGGGAGGCCTAGGGTTAACAGAAATGGCGACAGAGAGGCCAGGATGAGCACAGCTCTTCGGACAATAATGTGTATTAATCTTTCTTGAGAACTGTTTAAGTAGCAGCAGCTGAAGTATGAATACGTATGTTCTGAAAGTCTTTTAAACAGTTTGGCGTTTACTCTGAATA